TTCAGTAGGATCTTGCTTTCCTGTGATATTAGTGATATTGTTTGAGAATTTCCACACTCTGTCAAATTACTTTTTTTTTTAAATGGAAAGAAATATAGATCGCTTCCAGTCAGTTGGTCAGGTAGTTGTCCTCCAGATTTCTTGGCATAACTTGGTGAGTGCAGCCAGAGGTGCTTCTGTTTGTTGAACTATGTCAGTTGGTATTCTATCAATTCCTTGTGCCTTGTTTTTTTGCCAGTTCTTTCAGAGCAGCTTGAACTTCTTCCTTTATCACCATTACATATTGATCATATGCTGTTTCATGAAATTCTTCTGTGTGAACCAGTTGTTTTTGATACAGTGACTTCGTGTACTCCTTCCACCTTCTTCTGATGCTTCCTGAATCATTCAGCATTCTTCCCATAAAATCCTTAAGTATGGTTTGATTTGTTCTTTAGTTCCTTTAGCTTAAGAAATGTTCATCCCTTTTGACTTTCTGACTCCAGTTCTTTGCACATTTGATTATAATACTTTGCTTTGTCTTCCCGAGCTGCCCTTTGAAATCTTCTGTTCAGTTCCGTAACGTCTTGATTTCTTCCTTCTGCTTTGATTTTTCAGTGCTCTAGTGCAAAAGTCTCTTCTGACATCTGTCTTTGTCTTTTCTTCTTGCTCTGTCTTTGTAATGATCTTTTGCATTCTTCATGGATACTATTCTTGATATACTCACTCAGCTCATCTGGTGTTCACTCATTAGTGTTCAAGGTCTCAAATCTGTTCCTGAGATGGTTTTTAAATTCTGGTGCGATAGACTCAAGGTCAAACTTTGGTTCTTGTGGATTTTATTTAATTTTCTTAGTTTCTGTTTGAATTTGTGTATGAATAGTTGATGGTCTGTTCCACAAACAGTACCTGGCCTACTTGTCACAGCTGATATTGAGATTCTTCGATGATATTTTTTCCACAGATGTAATCAGTCTGATTCCTTGTTACCTCCAGCCTCATTTCTGTTACCAACTAAATGTTTTTTAACTACTTCTTCTTCTTTCCTCTTCCCAACTTTTGCATTCCACTATTACTAATAATGCA